AGGGAGTGATGGTCATTTAAAACAATGATATTTTTCACTATTCAATAGCAATACGTGTCTATAGTCCTGGCAATCATTCGTTAAATATTATCGCTATTTTTAATTCTCTCTCTCTCTCTCTCTCTCTCTCTCTCTCTCTCTCTAATGTAAATTATTTGAAAAATATTTAATGATTATAACGACAGTATGAATGCAATTATTAATTGATTGCAAAACTATTACAGAATTACCAGAATTTGATGTACTCTTTGTGTTTGCCGTAAACGTTATGATAGGAGGGTGTGAGTGAGAATTGTGTGACAATTGTTTCGTTCAAATATGAGATTTGTATGTGTTTTCTCTCCGATAACAGCCTTTCGTGATATGAATTATCTATAAGATTGTGTCAATGCTATCGATATAACAAAACTATTGGATATAATTTAATATCTTATACGAGAAAGAAAGAAAGAAAGAGAGAGAGAGAGAGAGAGAGAGAGACCGAGAGCAGATGTATTTTGATAACCATTACTTAAATCATTAAATATTTATATGTATAAAAATATTTACAAAATATTAAACAATTAAATGCTATAAATTAAAAATTACAAACAAATAATATTTCATAAAAAAGCCATTTCTAAACAAACAATGTATGCATTATATGCCTCAATCAAGCCATAGACTAATTGTGACTATATTATTTACCACGAGTACTACATATTATGTCATAACTATAACTAATAATAAAATAGATAACAGAAAAACAGAAAGAAATCATTCAATAGATGTTATTTGAGATTATGGTATAAAATAAATGGCAAATCGTTAACAAAAAACCAATTAATAGTATTACTATGTTTGATAGGAATATAAAAAATAAGCCCTAAATATATGTGAATAATTAGATACCGAAACAAAGGGAGAGAGAAGGAGGGAGAGAGAGAGAGAATTAAAAATAGCGATAATATTTAACGAATGATTGCCAGGACTATAGACACGTATTACTAAAGCGCCGATCGGTACGTCACGGCCGCCATTGCTGGCCGCGACTGCCCCGGCGCTCTCCAGGCGGCTAAATCCAGTTAAAATATGCAAATTTGTTCAGTCTATATGGATAAGTATACTACTTATATGTTGTTGCCTGCTTATTTATAAATATTTATATATTAATATGTGCGCACAAATGGTTTGCTCTTATTCTGCTCTTTTATACGATAAGTTGTATAATGACTTTCGCACAGGATTATTTCAACTAAAAATCAATGCTTTAACTATTAGATACTATTAAGATACATTATAATCACATAATTGTGATCACATTAAGTTGGTGTTAAAAAATATATAACTTTTAATATTTTGGTAATATCATAGAAATTTAAAGATACTTACAAATAAAAATACGTGATCCAAATGACCACAATTAACGATAACAAATACCACACATATTGTGTGTTAAATGTTATGCCAGAAAATACTGACATTATGGTTAAAGCTATCACTTGTGTTACAAAATCAATGTGTATTTAAACACAAAACTTGTAATTAAAATATAAATTGTGTGTTAGATATTTACTTAACTACTGTTATTAGTTTTAAATAAAATAAAAATTTATCATTGTCATTAATATACAAGGATAACATCAAAGTGTACTCGCAGTATATGCAGTTAATTTGCGTAAAATTTATTGTTTTGATAAAAACTAATATTTTAATAAAATTAGGAATTAATAATAATGTGAATCATTGTTAATTGATATAAAATATTAATATTTATTATTCAAACTCAATTGTGCTTAATATTGGCTAATATTATTTTACATTGCATTACAATCAATATTATTTCACTTTACTTTACACTAACATAAAGAGTATAGGTAAAGTTATAATTTACAAAATTAAAATATTTTTATATTGATTTTACTGCATTTACACTTATCTGATTTATAATTCTCTATTGTAATAATTTGTTTATAAGTTTTGGTATTTTAAAATATACTAACAAGTTAAAAATGTAAGTTAAAAATGGTGTAAATTATTTAAACTCAGTTGCTGTACAAGGCTGAATTCTAATTACAATGACATGATTATATGCCGATAGTGTTATATCATTTAATCATTTAAGCTGTAAAATAGCATAGAATTAATAATTAGGTGGCAAACTAATTAGCGTTTAACAACTAGTTATTTATCGTATATTTTATTCAAGATTGTTATTTGAAATAGAACACAATTATAATTTTAATATGCAAGTAATTGGGTTTTAACAAAAATGTTAAATAGTTAGTTATCGGTAAGGTTTTTAAGCGACAAGTATAGTGTCGAATGTAAGGCAAATACCGAATACTCGTTGCAATATTAAATGTGCTTTTAATGCAATCTTGAATTTATACCAATATAAGTCATGTCATAATTATTTTCATTTACTTATTATACGTGCAAACAGTGATCATATGTCGACTTCAAAGAACTTCGCCGATAAAGTAGTGCTGATCACAGGTTCGAGCGCTGGTATCGGCGCCCGAACTGCCATTGAGTTCGCCCGATATGGGGCTCAAGTGATGATCACCGGTCGTAATGCCGACAACTTGTCAGAAGTGGCCAAACAATGTGCGGCCGTTTCGCCCAATGGTCTGAAACCACTGGAAGTGTTGGCGGATGTGAGCAAAGACTCCGACTGTAAGCGTATGATTGAAACGGCAATCAATGCATTCAATCGATTGGACATTTTGGTGAACAACGCGGGAAAACCTGCCATTTCTGCGATCACTGATACGACACTTCTCGACAAATACCGGGCAGTGATGGACACAAACCTGCGTTCAGTCGTCTATTTAACGCATCTATCGGTCCAACACTTGGAGAAAACTAAAGGCAATATCATTAACATCTCGAGTGTAATGGGAATAAAGCCTGTAAGCAATTTCTAATTATATTCACTATTGTATTATGTATTCAAATAGATATTAAACTAATTATAAATGATGTTTAATGATGATGCTATTTCCACGCAAACAGGAAACTGGCATGTTTGTTTATAGTATGTCAAAGTGTGCGCTCGATATGTTCACCAAATGTGTGGCACTAGAGTTGAGCCCAAAAGGCATTCGCGTTAATGTAATCAAGTAAGTGATTATTTATTTCATTTAGACTTTTAATGCAATTAATCAACAAATAATGCATAATATAATGCCTATTGCAAAGTCCGGGAGGCGTCAAAACTAACAACATGTCAGGAATCGGTTTAACCGCAGAGCAAATTGAGGCCATATATAATGGATTGAGTGGTAAAATGCCGGTCAGACGGGTCGGTCAACCCATAGACATCGCGAACGCCGTACTCTTCTTGGCCTCAGACGAGGCCTCGTTTGTGACGGGCGTTCACTTTGTGGCCGACGGCGGGGTTCTCAACGCTATCTAATAATTGAAATTACATTTTAAAGCACGTATAGATGTATTGATTATGTTTAACATGATTTATAGTGATAACATAATGAACAGGACTTATATAAATCAATATAAAAAATATTATGATGGTATATTTTTTGAACTTAATATTATTTATTATGAGACTTTAGCGATTGGTTTGTAAAAATGATTATTATTATTATTATCCATAGAAATAACTATAATAATAGTTAATAAATAATATGAATCAATATTTTTATTTAATAATTGTTTATAAACCAATGTGTTAAATTATGAAATAAATTTTAATTATAACTTATATTAAAAATTTTATTATCAGTTAATAATAAATTTAAAAAATGATGAAAACCATATTTATGTATTTATTATTCATGTTATTTACATTAATCATTCAAATCATTGCATCAAAACATGAAGATAACACCGAATTGGAACTCAAAGTTGAACATGTTAAACAAATTAATCATAAACTCTTTGAAATAGTAAATCGCTATAAGAATAGAGTTTATGAAACAACTGAAACAACAACTGAAGAGACAGACCGTATGGTTAAGTCAGGAGTCGATGACGTGAATACAGAGGCCGAGAGTTCGACACCAAACCCGTTGACTACAGCTATGTTCAGCACTTCGACTACAGAATCGAGTTTGAGTACGAACTCAATCACTGAATCTGTTATAACTGAAACAACACTCATTACAACTACGGTTAAAAATGACGTCACAATTGCCGATAAACCTATCCGTAAAGGACACAAAAACAACAAAATTATCAATAAATCTATTAATACAACAAAGACTACACAAATACCAGCCGTTGGATCGATTGTTACTAAAAAACAGATAAAAATTACAAGAATTGGATCAATCAATGGTTCCAATACTCCAGAAGAAGATAAATCTACGAATACAGGTATAATTAATTTTCATTAGGTTAAATAGTTATGATTTTAATAACAAATACTTCATATGATTATGGTATAAATAATTACAATTCTATTAAGTATTAGAACTCAATCACTAATTCTGTTATAACTAAAGCATCACTCATTACAACTACTGATAGAACTGACGCCACAATTGCCGCCAAACCTCTCCGTAAAGGACACAAAAACAACAAAATTAAGAATAAATCTAATAATAAAAACACTACACAAATGCCGAGCATTGGATCCACTGTTACTAAGAAACGGATAAAGATTACAAGAATTGGATCAATCAATGGCGACAATACTCCAGAAGAAGATAAACCTCTTCGCGCTGGACATGAAGATAATGAAGAAATCAATAAATCTGCTGAAACAACGACTACACAAATACCAGCCACTAATACAGGTATAACTAATTAATCACCATGATCATCCGCATTATTATAATATAAATAATTACAATTCTCTCTCTCTCTCTCTCGCATATATTTTCTGTCAACTTATTAATAGTAATTTTTCTAAAAAATGCATTTATTATTTAAAAAACAAAATCATTGAAAGCCTAACAATTTTATTGACATCTGAGAGAGAGAGAGAGAGAGAGAGAGCACGACATGCGTTACATTTAAATTATTAAACAGATGTGCGAAAAGGACGGGTAGTTTTGTTGTCACAACTTTGCATTGAAAGCCAATTTGTATCCAAACTATTCGCAACCAAAAAAAATACTTTTCAATCAATGACAACAGATTGTCATTCAAACTATTAAATAAAGTGACAATTTAAAAATATTGTTTATTAAGCTAAAACAACTTATATTATGGTAAATTATTTTAATTAAACACAAACAACTAACCACTACACGAACCACACACATAAAATAAATATTTATCCATATATACAACACCTTTGATTTATATAACTATTACTGTAAATAAAATATACTGTATTTAATACATAGCATATACTGTACTGTTCTTTACTTTATATTGAAGTGGTTTACTCTGATATCACATAAGATTACATTAATGTCCCATTGATTTACCACAACTCTACTGGCCATCCATACACAGAGCCAAACACACCGACACATACAGAGAGCACAGGTATTCAAACGCCTTGAATATGTTGAACAATAGATGTACTGTTAGTCTGAACGCACCGACACTGCGATCGCACGCCGGGTGTGTCACAAACCCTAATAGTATTTCTAATGTATAACAACTAAAAGTTTTTATATTGTCTGCCGAAACATTATATAACACATAAAAATCATCATTTTATATATGGATGTGTGTGTAAGAGAGAGAAAGAGAAAGAAGGAGAGAGAGAGAGAGAGAGAGAGAGAGAGAATTAAAAATAGCGATAATATTTAACGAATGATTGCCAGGACTATAGACACGTATTGCTATTGAATAGTGAAAAATATCATTGTTTGAAATGACCATCGCTTTTGTCATAATATGTATGGGTTTTTACTGTAGTATACAATTAATAGGGAAAAGTCTGATCCCATATCACGTATTTATTACCACAAAACTCTATGCATGAATTGGTAACTGAACTGAAAGTACATTTAATTTCCTTTCTGTCCATAATATATACACTCAAAACAAATGCCTATCCGTTCACCACAACTACCACTACTACTACTAGTTATGATTAGTTGTATATTAATATTGTGTATTATACAGTATATTCAGGTATGTGTCCATAGATGTAGAGTATATTAAAACTCATTTTAATGTCTGTTAATATTCATGACATTTTTGCAGAGAGAGAGAGAGAAAGAGAGAGAGAGAGAGAGAGAGAGTCAAAGCTATGAAATCTATTGGACATAATTAACTCTCAGTTTTGATTACGTGAGCGCACAGACAGGAGAGCGAGTGATATTAACTATTATTATACATATTAATATTTATGTATATATTCTGTATACCTAACCGCACTGTATATGATATACAGTATACAGTACTTGGCTGGTGTTGGGCTGGGCATCGCACAGGTATAGAGTGCGCGGATCACAACTATTACCACATATGCATCACATAAAAAATACATTACTTTTGTTTCATCGCACAAATTAAGCCAATCGTTGCGATTAAAAAACACTGTATTGTATATTCAAACAGTCAAAACCGGACAGTCGTATAAATACATTGTCATAATGTATACTCTGGTCGTGTATTGCAAATAATTTCACATGTCAGGGATGACCCGGTCTGACCAGGGAGTGATCTGTATTACTTTATTTATTATAATTGTGATTATCAGTACCCAAAAAAAACAATTTTAATTTTATGTTAAACTTTTAAGCTGTTAGAACATTATATCAAATGCAAGTTATTATTAATTTTATTAGTTAAATGTCATCTCTCTCTCTCTCTCTCTCTTTCTCTCTCTCTCTCTCTCTCTGCTCTTTGAATTCCATGTATTTATACTATAATATCAAAGTTATATGCATTTTGTCCCCCAATTATCAGCAAGAGTTTATGGTTGGCGCCCATCTCTGAACACGTATTGTGAATCAATTTATCAATTTTGAGAGAGAGAGAGAGAGAGAGAGAGAGAGAGAGAGAATGTATGTTTGAAGGGATAGTAACCATAATGGGAAAGGTTAGCGAGAATTTGAGTGAATGGATCTATTGGTAACCATTTAAGACACACCCAAATATATATTTATATACATAGATATACATGTATATAAATATATGTATATATTATCGGAGTTTTATATGAAAAATATGAGACTTATATTGAGAGTGCATGATGTGATCCCTTCCCACTACTCGACAGCCCTTCACTATCCGTGTGTCCGCTCAGTCCTATCAGTCCTCTCAATAACACTACATCTAACAGTCCAGTCAACCGAACCTCTCATCCAAAATAACATATCTATGTATTTGTTGTTTTATTTTTTTTGCTAAAACTTTAATGTATTTTCCATTCAATACTTAAACATATGATGTATGGAAAGAGAAAGTTTCCATCATGTTAACTAAATAATATAATTATGTATTTAGCGAAATTAAAATATATTTTAACATTAACTTTTATTATGTACCATTTCTGTAAGTATCGTAATAGAAATATTTGTATTAAACCTTATTAATATTTAGCATGATTACATTTTTCGATTTTTAAATCATAATAATTTTTTTTATATATTAGTTTTAATTAATTTTTTAAACCTATAAAATCACTATATTATTTTTAAATTAGCATAATTTGTTTATTTTTATTTTAATTATAGATTTATATTATTTTAACATTATTTTCAGTAAAAGATTTAATACAAAAAATAACTTTACTAAACCATATTGCTATGTTTAAAACTTAAACTTAAAATGTTTACATAATATCCATAATACAAATATTGCAATCCATAATACAATAATTAAAACATTACATAACATTAAAGAATTGATATATTTTTAATAATTATTATAAGTTTGTAATAAATTAGAAATACTTCTATCATAGAGTTATCATAGAATTCATTATACTATATATAAAGTTTATATCCGATAACCACAGCTATGCCATACCTATGCAGCGCCGGTATCTATAGAAATTTGCATATATTGGGCACAGGTATGTAATTCATTGGCTAATATTTTACATTACAGATAATGAACATTGTAATAATAATAATAATCATAAAACCCATAGCCATAGTAATACATTAAACGCGAGCTTTATATAACATTACTTATACAATACACGACTATTTTTTGAGGTAAAAAAACATTAGCAAAACATCAAAATTAATACTTTTTTATATACATTATATAATATATTATATATTGCAGTATTGACTGAGCTTTTTGTGTGCACTAAATATAGTGATCGCAGTATTCAATTGGCGTGTCTTATAGTCTTCAATAAAGAAATAATAATTCAAACATTTATATACGAAACCAAAATCTAAACCTAATGTAAGAAAATATAGGTATTTGTGTTATTTTTTTCGTTGACATTAAAAATCAAATTCTATTTTCATTACCCATACCATACCTATGGGCGCCCCTAACAGTTCGTTGGCATTTCATTTTCCCATTCAATCCATTAGTTATTATTATTATATCGATATTATATATGGGTTTTGATTAATTTTGAAGCCATTCTCTGTGTGTTTGCGGATTAAGTATTAGTTTTTCTCCGATATTATAATAAATTATGATTTTTTATTACTATTATTATTTGAATTTATATATATATTTTTCATTAATGGTTTTTCTTTCAATGTTTTTCCTATGAAAAGAATATTCTGTTATATATTTAACAAAAGTGAAGTTTATTTCCCAGAATTTTCACGTTTTTCACGACATTTAAATTCTGTGTTATTTGAGTTTTATTTGTGTTTTTTATTTTGAGTGAAATATTTTATTTACTATTTTCTGTCTAACATTTTTTTTCGTTTACTTTATTTTATATTAATTTAACGTTTTAATTATAATTATGGTTTCAAATCGCTTTTAATGCTAATGATTAGTGTGTCTGTGCCTGTCTGTCAGTGCACTCGTCTCCCTCTCTCTCTCTCTCTCTCTCTCTCTCTCTCTCTCTCTCTCTCTCTCGTTGTCGCCCAAAGTTGATGGTAAAAATTGATTCGCTTATGAAATAATTATTACTTTCGTTTGTTTTGTATTTAAAAAANCTCTCTCTCTCTCTCTCTCTCTCTCTCTCTCTCTCTCTCTCTCTCTCGTTGTCGCCCAAAGTTGATGGTAAAAATTGATTCGCTTATGAAATAATTATTACTTTCGTTTGTTTTGTATTTAAAAAAACAATATAATATTAGTGTATAGTATGTGTGGTGTTATGTTTGGTAACCGTTTTTTGAGTTGCTATTAGCGAAAGTGCGGTCACAGAATGTGACACTTTTTTATAATCAGATTCACTATTAATGCGTTTAGTTTTGAGAGGAGAGAGAGAGAGAGAGAGAGAGAGAGAGAGCCATAAATAATATATATAACGATATGGTTTTCGCTCGCAATACAAATGCTCACTAAATTATATAAAGTATTTTTTCGCAAAACTAAAAACTATTGAATTGAAAAACTATTAACAAAAATGGTTTATAAGTTTCATTTCACGTAAAATATAAAAATAATTACATTTTTCTGTTCACTTCAATAATTTAGTGCCAAATATACTGTATATGCTTTTGAATTATAGAAATAGCAGTTCTTTCGGCATAAATTATATACATTATATATATATATATGGAGAGAGAGAGAGAGAGAGAGAGAGAGAGAACTAAGTTATTATTGAAATGTAGGCTTAAATTATAGATAATGTATATATTATTTTTCACTTTTATTATAGCATTCAGTCATATAAATGTATACATCAAATATATGGCAAATATATTGACGTTTGGTATCGATTTGTGTTGAATACCTTTCTCTTGTTGTCCACTGTAACCGATAAGACCAGTGGACAACAGGATAATGGCGTTCAGCGCCTATCGTCCACTGATCCCCCGCCGGACGACACCGACACCACACCCACCGCCGACTCACCAATCAATAAATTAATTGACTATTTTATAACATTGTTTAATAACATACAGAATAAACATTTCGCACATTAAAAACAATTGAATTCTGTGAGAAAGAATGAGTGGAAGAGAACCGGAATCCTAGGCCAACAACTCGGGAGCCGAGAGGCCGGGAGTGGCGGTCGTGTCGCAGACGGCGTCCCAATCGTACTTATAGTCAAACTCGTCGACCAATTGCCTAAACCTGTCGGTCCAGTGGCTATAGTCGGGCTCTTCGGTGAAGGCCAACAGTTTGGCGGCCGACAGGAAGTCGGCGAACGCGGGCGACAAGCCGTCAAACAGGCGCTGCACTGACGCCGAGTCCTTTACGGCACAGATGGCGGCGTTTTTATGCTGCCTCCGGATACCCTTCATGCCCTGCCAGGGCAACTGACCCTGGTGGAAGTAGGCCAACATATAGCCCACCGATTCCAGATCATCCCTACGGCTTTGCTCGTGACCTTTGCCGGCGCCCACCGAACAGTATCGGGGCGTTCCGGTCATACCGGCGCTGTCCCTGAAGGGTATGTGTGCGCCCGTACGGCGATCCACATAAGGCTTGGACAGACCGAAGTCAATGATGTACAGCCGCCGCGCCTGAGGGCCACCGCCCGCCGGACCCATCAGAAAGTTTTCCGGCTTAATGTCGCGGTGTATGAGTCCGCGGCTGTGGACGGCGGCCAACACGTCGATGGCCTGCACGGCGATCATCAACAGGGTTTTGGTCGAGAATTTTTGGCCACAGAGTTGGAACAGCTTCTCCAGATCGGCCCCGAGTCGATCCATGACCATGATGTGACCCAACTCCGGGTGCGCGCCCGCCCACAGTAGCGCCGGTATACCCGATTTGGTTCCACTCTGGATCAGGTCTGACAGATAGCGCTTATATATACGGGTCTCGTATACAAGTGATGAACTGTTGGCCCCTTTGGTGTCCACTTTGATGGCCACCCGTTGGCCCGACTGGACGTCGAGCCCCTCATAGCATATACCGTACGCTCCCTTACCTATCGTCGAGCAAATGGTGTACTTTTCGTTCACCACTTTTCCGCAATTGTCTGCCTTTACCTCCATTTCCGACATTTGGTTTTGCTTTTCAATAGAGTTTTGGATTTGGTTTGAGATTTAAGTTTTGAAATATTTATGAATTTCTGTTTGTTTTTTGCTAACAATGAATTAAATTAAAATTTTTGTGTTTTATTAAAATATGTGTTTCAAATGGTGTTTATGCAATAATAAATAATAGTTAAAACTTATACAGTATATTTAATTTATTTAAGTAAAGCACTATTAAAACACAGATAACAAAATGTATGTTTAAAAAGTTTTATGCGTTTTGTTTCATGAATTGTCAAACAAATACAAAAACTAAACTTCAAAACTATATTGAATTGTATGTCATCTTAAGATTATTTATATCACTTCAAGTTCATTAAATACTAGTTGTTTTGTCACTTTTTAAAATGGTAAAAGTTGATTAAAATTTTCCAAAACATACTAAATGTTTATAATTTGATAATTCATTTTAATCCAATTAACCTTAACTACTGTATTTTGCTCATGCCTTATGTTAGCTCACAAGTCAGTAATAGTGGTCTTTATATACAGTGTGTTTGAATTGAATTTATATTTATTGTAATTGTCTTTTATTTGTGACACTATTTGTATTTAAAGTACATTTAATTTAGTTTTTTGGCTCAAAATCAATAAGAAGTTACGGTATTATAGCAAGTGTTGGACATTAAGTGATAAATCAATTATTGGATTTGTTTTGGAGTTTAGGTCAAAGTTCACGAATGAATAACAAAATGGTAATTAATTAATTGTATGATTAAAACAGTTATTTAATTGTATTTCCTGTTAAATATAGCCTCAAATGTATCCGAAAGACTCTTTCGATAGATTCGGTGATGATTTAGTCAAACTTTTATTGTCTTATTATTTGTTAAACAATTTTGAGGAGAAATCTCTTCACGAATGTGTGTCAAAACAGTTCCGAAGAGTGATTTACGACACAATTAGTGATATCTCTATTCGTCACGAAGTAATCGTCAAAATGAGAGCGGAAGACACGGATCTATCGGATGAACAGTTGTGCCGCAAACTGATTGTATTTCTGCAGAAGAAGTGCCCAAATGTACAAACAGTTTGTTTCAAACATGAGATGACACACTTCCGTGTGATTCCGTCGCCTTATATGAGACCAGTG